TAACGGAATACGTTATAGAATACATTTTGGGGCATGTATTCTGTATTCTGTAATGGAATACATTTTAAAAGTAACCTTCCCAACACTGCTCATAGCACATGTTGTGTAGTGGGATGTGTACCTGGGTTATGGATTTTTTGTTTTCTTTACAGCATTTTTGCTTGTCATAGTCTTAAGAGCACAGGTGAGAGCATTAAATATGACTGTATTCTAGTTGAATCTGAAGAACTTTAGGTATGGTATGCAGTGAGCCCACTGTCATGGTTTTCCTGGTATACATGAAGGAACAAAACCATCAAGAACCATTTGCTTTGACCAGTAATTTTTCTACTTTGACATATCAAAATGTCAGGTGTAAAAACAGCTCAATTAACAGGGCAGCTATGGTTCAGGTGGTAAAGCAAACCATCTACCAGTAAATTGAATTTATCCCTGGTTTCTACAAACCATGTGTCGAAGTATCATAGTGAACCCTGACTTGCCATCGGAGTGTGTGTGTGTGTGTTAGCTAAAAGTGCTAAGATATAAATATAACCATATGTGTGTGATTGGATGACTAGGACTATGGGCGCTCAAACTAAGTAAAAATGTGCTACATAATTACCAGTCCATTCGTATTGGTGGTTAAGCTGATAATTTTTTCTTGACAACACCAGGATAAGTAATGTAATTTATCAAAATCATAAGAAAAAATCATCCTTTTGGGCTATATGTAAATCTTTTCTGCAGCTTTGGGACAAAAACAACTTTATATACTAGTCAGTAAATAGTGTTTAACAAATGGAGTGGAGTTAATTGAAATTTTTTCGGGACTATGGTACGATACTATATGTAGATTTGTGCTGTTTGGTGTCAAGTAGAAAAAAGAATGCATTGCACATAAGCAATGGATTTTTTTTTTCAATCCATTGTGGGTCTTTAGAAATAGTGCATATTAATATTAATTTTACTCTTTGCCATTTGCCTCCAAATTAAATTATAGAGTAACTCCAGAGAGAAGTAGTTCCACGAGTTATTTTAGTTATCACACTGTAGAAAAAACAGTGTTACAGAACTCCAGACTGGGTTGTTATCAGCCTTTATTAATCCCATATACAGGACCAGAGGCATCTTTCTATATCTTGTAGCGGAATCATTGAGCATCATTATCGTCTGTTGTAATCAGGGGTTAAAGTGGGCTGGAACATTTCAAAGACATTCTGGCACCTTCAGTTAATGACCAATTAAATCTGATGGGCAGGTTAATGCATATTACTGCGGAATGAGTTAATTTTTCATGTGCTGCAGTCTAGCCTTGCTTCAGTGACAGTATGGAGATTCTTGTTCGGTAATGTGAAAATAACCCCATCCCACAGTCCACATACACCCTCATCGCCCTTTTCTTCTCCCCCTGAATGTTTCATGGTGCAGATATAAAAAAAGTTACTTTCTGTAGAGAAAAGAAACAAGCATCAGTGGCGTCGGATTTTAAAATCAGATACTGGATCTATATGCGAAGTGTTGCTCAATTATGTCTTTGTGAGAAGTCCTGCAAAACTAACTAGACTATACAAATGTTCTGTTATTTAAAGGTTATATCAAGATGTTGTAATGTTAATATTAGCAGTATAAGTGCAGGTTAAATTGATTAGTTCACAGTACTTTGGTGAAGTTTATAGTAATATGTTATACTGGGCTGGTCGAGAGCAGCTGTGGTGTTCATGGTCAGTGTTAGTTTACATCAAGGGTAGCCAAAATCAGATTATATTAAAGGTGATGAGTGCAAATAAATTCACTCATTAAATTCTACCTTTTATACTAGTTTTAGTATAAAAGCCACAAAAGCTTGTGAAGCATCTGCTTATATCTTGTTGAATTCAGCTAGCTAAACCCACAAAGAACAGTGACTAGCAGCTTGGGTCAAATGATAGACACAAAGTAAAGCCTACAGGAGCTCACAAAGCAAGATATTATCTGACTTTCTAATCAATTTTTCCCACATTGCACCAGTGCACCAGATTTTATGATACCCCAAGCTGCTAAATCCCACTTTAACTCCTGGTTATAATGAGTGATAAATGGAAAGCAAGACAAATTATATGACTGACAATCTCAGGTGGTAAATACTACAGGAAGCTGGCAAATGGAGCTTTGTTCTGATGCCTAAATCTCTCTAAACTCGCAAATAACTTGTGTGCCACTGTCAATAGCTCAACTATCACTAGGTAGAAAGAAAGCATCACCTGCTAGGCCTCCTGGGCTGATAACATTCATAGCTCGTTTTCAGAGCTAGCATCCAAACGCCCTGCAAAAATGTACAGCAAATCAGGGTGATGCTAAAAAATACTTTTAGTGTGATGCCACTGAAATGCACATAAGGAGCTGCTGGCCACTCAAGTGCTCATCCATGAAGCTTTAATATCAAATGAATACTGAAGATTTGAATATATCACTGCTGCTTTTAATAATGCCACAGAAGCTTATGAGAACCCAAACAAGTGAAATGTGCTGAAAACATTGAACTCTGTAAGATTTTGAGAATAAATGAAACTCATAGAACACTGTACAGAATGTCTGGTTTATTGGTTGTACTCATACATTTTTAAAATTACTATATGCTTCGTATCTAAAGACTCTCAGATGAACTGTACTGTCTCTAAAGGCAGACATAAGTGACGCCTTGAATACAGAGCAACTCTCACCAGCAGTGATTGTTTGACAATTCAATTTGATGAACTCTGAAAAGTAAATCTATAATTTATATAATAAAGACTTTCGTAATGCCACGGTTACTAAAGCAGGATTTAACCTTTCAGGAGAATTTGTGGTGAAGTTTTATTCCATGAGCTATGTGCTCCTGATGAGAGTTGCTTTGTTTTGCCAGAGCTCAGTCAAACTGCAGTTTAGTTTTTATTTGATAATGTTATACACCGGTGGAGGAACAACAGACACTATCAACACAGTTGTGCTTATCTTTTTTCATTTTTTTCTTTTTTTTTTTCTGTCAAATATCAGTTTTTAACATAATCTTTTTCACAAGAACAGACTAAGTCAAATCTGTTATAAGTTTTGTATACCAACATGCTCACAATGCTTCTGAACCATTTTTTCTTTTTTTTTTATTTTCATTTGTTGTTTTTCTGTATGTGTGTGTGTATGTGTGTGTGTGTCAGATCAACATACATCAAAACCGACGCCCCTTTTTGTTTCGTACAGTATCTGCCGGGTCTGCCATGTTGTATTAGAATATTATGATATTCTTTGCGATTAGCAGGCTTATAAAGGCAGGAGGAAAATAAAAAGAACTGCAGTCATGTACACAGGCTTCACTTCACACAGGCAAGAAAATCACAAACCGTAATAGGTGCAATCCAAAATAATCTCAGTCAACAAACATATAAACAATTCATTCTCCCATCCTTTACATACGTCTGTCTGAAAACAAGATTGCAGTCATTCTTTATCAAAAAATTTACATTTCTACTGAACTGAAAATCACCTCTTGTGCTTCGAAGATGAAAACTGACCAGACAAATCTACAAAAACAACAAATGCTTGAATAATGACAGACACCTTATTTGTGACTGTGATCTACGTGTAAGTTAATTAACTTTCTTTCATTTAAAATACTTTCTTGCGTATGTTTCTGTATTACATTATATTTTTTTGTAAATTGTGCAACAACGTCTTTAGTCTACTCTAGAAGGCCACCAGGTGTCTTGGTATATGTCTCCCTCTTTGTCCGTTCAGCAACGTTTCGAATCACAGCTTATGAAAATCTGTGCTTGGAAATGCTCTTAGGTTTTCATGACAGTTGACCTTGTTGTTGAATCATCTCTAAGTAAGAAAAAAACGATGTACTGATGGGTAGAGTCAAGCAAACAGAATCCATAAAGTCAACTTATTTTTGCACTTCAGCGTAGCTGAATATGGACAGCAAAACCCAAACTATTGCACATGTTAAAATATATTAAACATATTAAAAAATTACAAACAATATGCTAAAAACTAAAAGCTAGACCCTCACATTACACATAAACTATGTTTGCTCTTGTGTTTTAGTTCGATGATAATTGTACCAGCAATTAAAAACACACAATTTATGGGTTAAATGTGAATCAGTCTTAAGTATGCTACCTACTCTAAAAAATTTAAATCAGCCAGAGACAAAACTGTTTTTCTGTCTATATGTATGGATGTACGTTTGGTTCACACCAAGCAAACATATACAAAGATTTATACATAAATTCTCTCATCTATGTACGCCGTGAACTGGCTTTGTACTCAGCTAATCTTGGATCGCCTTGCATTGATTAGCCAGACTATGACAAGAAGTCGTGATCTTCAGCTTTATCTTCTGGGTGTTTACGTCCTCATGAAAAGAACAGTATCAGAAATTTATGGTACGATCATAAACCTTCCCAGCTCACCCCATACAACTCAAATGCTACAATACCTGATTTAAATTTGACATTTTTCCACCTTTAAGGTCATCTCCTTAGTTCCAGTACTGGTTTTAGATCACTCCTTTGACTCTCCTATCTGACCACTTGTAATGTATCCTGCTGTGAGTTCACAATGTGCCAACATCAAATCAATGTCATTAATCAAACACATAGTGTTGATGTCTTAGGTATGCTCAGAACTATGCTCACCATTTTTTAACATTGATTGGGTTTTGTACTTTGTCCACCGGGGTTAGACGACATTGAGTTTTAACAAGTTCCGCAGTGATGCCCAAACAATGATCTATAAGCGTAGCTCAGCCAAATTTAAATAGGGGATGGTTTGAGAATTCCAAGGTTGCGCTAAGGAGTAGTGGGATCGTATGTTTGAATGTATAATTTTTAATCAGTGTCACCCTTTTTGTCAGGCTTTTAATGCAGTAGACATAGCGGCTTGATAGGTTTTATCCTAAAATTTACCCGAAAAGAAGCCACACTATCAACTCAAGTCCTCAAATTACAATTATTAGTAAGTGGTTCTTAAAGGTTGCCAGGTAAATCTGTCGCAACGATGATGTTGCACCTAAAATCTCCTTGTGGTTGCTTTGGTATCTCATATATTGCTGAAGTAGTGATGCCTACTTTTCTGCAAACACTCACGAACTACTAGCCGAGTGCAAATGGGAAACAGAGAATGTACAAATAACCTTTAAGTTATGCCTCACTGCTGCAGCTAACATGTTTCAAAAGGCACAACTTTTAATTTGAAGGCAACCATCTCCATTTTTACTTTGTGTTGCACTTTTCACAGTTTCTTTCAGCACTCAGAGATTATTTGGCAGGCATTTGTAAACAAGTCAGCATCCTCCATGCGTTCATCTGCTAGCAACCAAAGCAATTGCAAGGACGTTTTCAGTGGCATATCATATACCTCTTTCCAACCAGTTTCACCTACCAACCTCTATCATCTGGACTACCCACCAGTCTGGTATTACACATTTTTCCCTAAAAACCTGCTTGCTAGGGTGTTATTAAACAGGCTGTAGGTCTGCATGACTTGGGCTTTAGCAACTAATTTCACAGCGACTGCCATCACCCTCCAACAACCATTTGCTAGTCCGAATTTTTACCACATATAGGCCCAGTAGTTACCAGATGGTCACTGCCCCAGGTCCCAGTCACACATTCACACGTTTCTAGGCCGTGTGAGTGGGACCTGAGACTACCATGACCCAAGACCTACTGAAGCAGTTTCTTGTGATCTTCAGACTGTATATTCTTGGGGGGGAAATCCTCAGTTTTGCTTGGGACAAATGATAAGTCAAGAACATAAAATTCTTTGATGAAAAGTTTTTTGTTGTTGTTGTGTGGGTTTAGAACTACTGTCCTGCTGCATTTTCCTGCATCTGCTAAAGGGGATTTATACACTGTTCTTCTGAAATGGAAAAATGGATGTAAACACCCTCAAAGTACTTTTATAGTCACTGTTTCATTTCAAATCAAGTTCAGAACCAAAACAGCAAAAACATATGACTATTCTAACACTCCATTGTATTCTGGTTGAAAATCAGCATCATAATCGTCAGTGATTGTGACACAGATGAGTGTGCTAGAGAAGTCCATTTATGACACTGTTGTTTGGAAAAAAAAAACAATATAAATATGAGATCTGTTATAGATATATCTTATATTTCCCTAATCCCTGATAGCCCAACGCTAAATGACAAAACAATAAAAACAATAATGGCTGTATTACATTAGTGTCAGTCTACTGCACATTAAGAACAGAGTAGCAGCAATGCCTCATGGATTTGCATGTTATATACAGAGAGCATAATACATTTTTCTGGTTAGGTATGATTTATGGTGTTTATTTACATATGATATGTAGCCTGGATTAACATATTTCAACTTCAACGCAAAAGATCAATGACTTCAAAATGAAAATGTAATATTCCAGTAATGTAGAAAAATAAATTATATTACTTGTATTGACATGAGGAGAATGATTGGTTTATATCTAGCACCTATTGCAACCACTTACTCTATACTATAATGAGCTTTAGCAGACATATGGTTATGACTATCCCTGGCACTCTTACTCCCACTTAACTTCTCTCACAGGAAATACATTATATGGGCAGAATAAGTGCTCGACGGTGTATTAAATTAAAGGGCATTTGATAAAAAAATAAGTGTAATAAAACATTTTAAATCATCCTTCTTATTAACATATCAGGGATTGTTTTAAATTAACTGAAATTTGACAAGTATACATTATGCATATTTTACTCTTAGTTGTGTGTGCTTTTTTTTCTAGCTTTGCAAAAAGCTGTGATTGTTTATAGATCGCACTCCTCTGCACTTTTATAACCCTCAAAGATAAATACAAGTCCAGCCAAGTCTGTGTAATATAATTATTTTCATTTTCACCTCTGTTTTAATATATATATATATATAATTTTATTTTTTTAATCAAAAGGTCAATCTGAAATTTCAACAATATAAAGAAACTCATTTAGATGTATAGCTTCCTAATGCTAACATCTTTTATCACAGCTACCCAACTATTCAGAAAAACTGTGATTTTATTGAATGCCTTGACCAACACATGTACCAATTTATCAGCTACTTCCTCATGAAGGAAAATACCTTCATGACAAAAATAGAATAATTCTGTCTCATAATCAGAAGCCTTCTCATCGATGTGAATCCCACCACTTTTAATACATATCTACAAAAACAGTGATATATAGTTATCAACTCTTCTTTTACATTTGCAGTTAGTATTGTAATAATAATGAACTAACCTGGCAATGAAAAAGTAAACGGCAGCTTTAAATGACCAATAACAATATGAAATCTAAAGACAAATGCCTTATAATTGCACCATCAGTGAACGTTTCTGTGCTTTTGCCATTGCTGTCCATCATAAATTTTGCACCCTGACATAATTGGTATATGACTCTGGCAGTAACTTTTTATTCAGCAAGGACTTTGAAGGAATAACAATCATCTTCCAGGGGATATTAACTCATGTTTTTAAATTGTGTTGCTTTAATATAGCAGTTGACTGTCTACACTGCAATACATCCCGCAGACCCTGACAGAGCCAAGTAGTAGGTAAATGAATACATGAATAATGACTAATTTTGACTGAATAGAAGAGCAGCTTGTCTTTGTCAGTAACCCAGGAGCTTCATTAGTAATTGTAAACAAGAGTCACATCTATCAGCTCTATCAACAGACTCTATCATCAATAACTATTGATTAGCTTGTCAACAGTCAGTGTAGAAGGCATCTGTCTGTGTTCACTGGGTAAGCAAATACAGCAGGCCCCTTTCATCCTTTCCATATTTATTGTGCCATATTAAGCGTAGTTTAAATGACACCGTGCTTGATTGCTCTGTGTCAGTATGTGAATAAAAGTTTGACTGCTTTGTTCATTTTGGAATGTAATTATGCTGCAGTGAATATGATTTTCAGTACATGGGAAAAAATGTGTATGTGTGTGCTATATTTTTATTGACCTTCACTGAACCTCTGGTACCTTCACTCTTCTGCTTCCCCTTCACACAGTAATGTGGGTATTGCTCTACATCTAACCAACATTGTGAAGATCTATGCAAAAGTTACTTGCTGATAAAACTGTGCCTACACCAGCTCGGACGTCTCCAGAAGTTGTTTAAAAGTAATTAACCCAGATTTTCATGCCATCCTGTCATTAGACATTTTTGCGTGCATTTATAGTGAGAGCACTGTTGGAACAGTATGAAGTGTTTTTGGGTCCCAATGTGGACTTATGTGTGACCTCTAGGCCACCCGGGTGCAAACAGACACAAAACACGCACACTCACATAAACACACACATCTAAGGAGCTTGGAAAGAAAACCTTTCACCTTTCATCCAAGAAGCTTCTTCAGTTTGACACTTCTCGCTTTTCTTTCAACCTCCTTAGATTACCATGACCTGGATGACTGAGAACCTTCACAGACATAAACACATACAATCACATACTAGACCAGTGCTTATATGCTTTGACTAAAACCGTGGCTCTTGCGATGGTTTTTCAGTGAATGATGACCGATTACAGCATGTGCAGTCCAGCAGCCATCAATAGCCCCAAGTGTAGCCATCAGCAAGCCTTCTGGTGGTTGATCATTTCATGGACATTGTCTTTATCCACTTGTATTGGTCCTCTGGGATAAATTATTCAAAGTTCTGAAGGCATTCAGTTAGTTACAGCACACCTACAGTACATACAGTAGGCCTAATCTACATAAACACACATACAAAGCCTACTACCATACATACGTCAATAATAGAACAGTCTCTTGTTTCTTTATCATTCCTTCGAGCTTCTGTTTAGACTCTCAGCGCACTGGCATAAAAGTAAGGTTTCTTCCAGAAACTTGATTTAAATAAGTTTAGTGTTCTCTCCCCTTTGTTGCAAAATTTATGATCAAAAAACACTTGAACTGATTCTTGGCCTCATGTGTTTGCTCCTTCAGCTGTGTTTCCTGCCTCAGAGACGATATTTTCTCAGCAGGTCAGCCTGCCACATGTACTTCCTCTCGGGGAACCTCTCTGGGATCTTAATCTTGCGGAAGTCTTGAATGCACTTTTCCAACTCCTCCTCAACTGTGAGCTTCTCTTTTGTGGGCCTCTTCTTGCAGCTGCTGGTGTCACGGGAGCTGGTTGTGAGAGTGCGCAGCAAGTCACTCTTGCGTCGTTGTTCAGACTGCTGGACCATGGTGACAGGGCCCTTTTTCAGCGGCCTGTCCAGGGTTTGGACATTGGCACGGGGATGCGACTGGCGACTTACTGGGCCACAGATGACTGTTCCCTGGGGAGAGCTGGCCTCTGACTGGCTCTCAGAGCTAGAGGTGGAGAGCTCATTAAAGGAGGTGCCGCTCTCACCCTCGCCGTCACCTTTGTGGTTCTTGCAGCAGCAGTCACATGGAGGGGACGACCAACGTGATGGACCACCTGGAGAGAGAGGGAAGCAGAGCGGGAGCTAATATTAGATGCTACTTTTTCCACCTTTTCTTTTCTTTTAAGACCAATCATTGTGAAGAGAAAAATGAGACAGTGGCACAAAGAGTGGCACAAATTACAGAGACAGGAGAAGAAAGGAAAAGTAACAAGCGCTACAGACAGACAAAGACGAAAAGTCAGCTAATGCCAAATGGCAATCACATTAGGACAAAGTGACATGACATCGGGGACAGCTGGCTGGCCTCCAGTCATAGAAGTGAGTTGGCTGACTATGTGACAAGCTTGTATTGTTCAGAGAACTACCCTCATAGATTCCCACTGTCATATGAAACAAGTGGAGGAGCTAAAGCCTTTTGAAAACAGACAATGAAGGTCCAGATTTACACGTTGTAGCCTACATGTATTCATACTAAAACAGTAGGAAGAAGAGCCAGGACAATAAACAATCTTCTACACTGCAAATATGTGTGTAACCGAGCAAGAAAAAAAACAATGTGAGCAATGGTCAGTTTTAAGACAAACAGATAGCAGATTGCACAAGTTTGATTCCCGTGAAATGTGTAGTCTTATTTGCCATCATACTGTATTAATCTCTTTAACAATGAAACCAAGGGACAATGCACAGTTGTGGTTAGTTTAAACAGTGAAAACCACAATTAAACCAAATTTATGTAGCACATTGGAATCAATGTGAGCCAATCTACATCAATAAAGTACAACTTGTATGTAGACACATTGTATTCTGGTTATATTCCTATATAAAAAGGAGATTTTACAACACAACACCAGTTTAGCTCAGCGGGTTAGCAGGTGCCCATCTGCTGTGTGGCCAGAGACCAGCAGCCTGGGTTTGAGTCTGACCTCTGGCCCTTTACTGCATGTCTTCTTTACTGTCACTATCCAATAGTGACCAAAAAATAATATTAACCTCCTAAGACCCAAACTCTTCCATGGCATGCGTTTTTAATTTCTCTTTGATATTTGGGTTGATTGGGACCTGATGAATGTAAAAACAAAGTTATACCAGATTTTTTTTTTCCTAATTTTTGTTTCTAAGAAAAATGAGAGCCACATATGAGGATATTCATTTAAAATTTCAATAGAACAGTTGCAGTATAATTTTCTCGTAAGTGGATATCAGGCCATTGTAGAGCAAGATTTAGTATTTTGGTCTAAATAACCCAAAATGTAATGTCCACATATGTGGACGCCAGGTCCTAGAAGGTTAAAAAAAATAGGTTCTAAGAATCTATAAAGGAAATTCTACTTTAAGTCAAAGTTTTGGCCTGACTCTGAATGCAAGCAGTGATTTTGAAGGTGAATTTCTGTGTATATAGATGGCAACAGACAACAGATTTTTGGTGATTTATGATACTTGTTTTTTCCATTATCTCCAGCGGACTGCATGTAATGGCAAACTGCAGACAGTTATCAGACTGACACCGTTTTATTGCCATTTTATAATTGTCTTGATGCACATAGACACATTGAAGGCAGGAACTGACAGTGAGTGCTCTCAGACCTGGTTCTTATCTTTGAAGTAACCATGTCAACCCTGACTGACAACCAACAAGCCATGTCTCATTGTCAATCATGGCAACAAAATTGCAAGTTTATTGTACTCGGTCATAATAATTTTTGTTGTGGTGTGTCCACTTTTTTCCCTGGTGTGACTGTAGCATGAAAGACCCCATATTTAGTATTTCCTCTTTCACCTTTTTGTGTATTTGAAAGCTCCACAAAGTTACAGGTCCAAAACGTGTAACTTCTCACTTTCTGTCATTGTTTCTGTTGTACGAAGACAAATCTTCATGCACTTCATGAACTAAAATCCAAGTTGGCTTTTATTATTATATAACTGTTGGAAAATTGTTAGTTAGCGACGCTAGCCACTTTGCATATGGCTAACATTACCTTTAGCTTTGATGGATTCCTGTGAAGAATGCTGCAAAGCTAAGGAGCTATCAGAAACTGTAGAAACTTTAAGATAATTTAACAATGAGTATTGACTGGATGTGGGTTATTGTATTTTCCTGCTTTGTTTTGATTCACTCTAATTTAAGCTGATGTTGTTTGAAACACGTATTAAGAAAATTGTGGACTTTATTAGTGTTAATGGGGTTAAGCGAGCGGTCTCACATAATTGATTGACTCCAGAATGGAAGCAGTTCCTCAATTTAACCTCTGCGAGAGCGTACAATAACCTGAAACACTCAGGAACCAGAGCAGTGCCACACCTCTCCCTGCAGGAAGCAGCCATTTATTTTTCATGCTAACCTCCTGAATAATTGAACGGGTATCTGTTGCTGATGGACTTCTCTCTGTTTAGCGAAGCAAGAGATCAAAACCCTCGAGGCTAACACACACATGCCCCCACCTCCCTTTCTGATTTTGAGCCCCACCCCTCACCTCCCCTCAGCTCCACACACGAGCTCTGACAGGACTCAGCTTTCCACGCATCTTCTGCTCATCACATTCAATAATACCATTGTTTCTTTTCATGCTGCTGAGCATTTCACTTCAAACAAGATTGTAGAAGACTATAAATAACTCTGCTTAAAATAAATGCCCCCCTGCTTTTAATACCCTTTATACTCAGCAGCATACTTGGCTTGTTTCTAGACAGCAGAATGGAAAACAATTGATCCATCCAAGATTTGTTCCTTCTATTGTTCCTCATAAATAGTCGCAGCTCATCATAACTACATTTTTGTGAGTATAGTTAGAATAGAAATTTATAGTAGAAGTTATATTTTGCTGTGTATGTTGTAAACAGCTTTGACACTGAATCCAAAGCGCACACACAAATACACTGCTGCCTGCTGTATATTAAACAAAATTCACCTTTCAAAGTCCTTGACAGAAATGGAACACAACACTCTACCAGCAGTGAATCTCTTTAATTACCACTGGCATTTAGAGATTTAAACTTCCATGCGCACAAACACGATGCTATGCACACATTCACAGAAAAGATAGAACATATGATATTTCATTTCAACTTGCAGTTTTACAGGTATAAACACAATTAGAATGAGATCAGAAGAAATAAAAAAGATGCACTCCTGGCTGCAACGTAGAGGATTTAACCCCATGATAGCCATCTCGTCCCAGCTTTTTTACTGGACACATGAGTTAATTTATGTCACTCTGAGTGAAAGGCTCCCCCCAATCAGTGAGATGCAGGCTTGTAATTGGTGACATGAAAAATGCCCTTATACCCTGGAGAATTGTCAAATCTGCTAGTAGCCAATCTGCCTGTCCACATAAATTTAACACAATGGGCACCACTGTTACAACAAATCAGTAAAAGAGTGTGTCGTGTGTGTGTTTGTGTGTGTCCCTGTGGCTTTGCGTCTGTGCATTTGATATATGACATTCTGTTTAATCTTTGGCATTTGGTAATTATATCCAGGTCTATTTAGCTTTTTATCCTGTAAGTCTTGACATTGACATGGTGCTTTAATTCACAGGTATTGTGAGTAGCTATTAGCCTTGCGATCATTAAAGACTACAAGGAGGAATCTGATTTATCACTTTGACTAGCTGCATTTCCTGTCAAAGCTTTTACTTCAGAGAGAAATTGGTTGGCCAAAAAATCTAATTGAAGACACTGCTTATAAGAACTTACAAGAACAATCCAAACCCTGGTCATCAAAATTAAGGAAATAAATTCACGGTATGTCTCTTATCGTCATGTGAGCACTGTAATTACATGTAATTACATTACTTTCTCCTTTTTTGCACTTGCTCCTAGCCATTGATTTGTATTACATATGTAAACTACAGGGTGGGCCATTTATATGGATACACCGTAATAACATGGGAATGGTTGGTGATATTAAAGTCCTGTTTGTGGCACATTAGTATATGTGAGGGGGCAAACTCCTC